CCCGAGACTCTCTGGTCCACGGGCCAATGCTCTAACCACTGAGCCAAACTGGCCAGGGCAGACCTGAGCTTCTTAAACATGCAAGGCCCCTGTATTATACCTCCAATTGCAGAGCAAGCCTCCCATGCCCTGGCTCACAGACAGCTCTTCTGCACAACGCCTCAGGTCATTACCCTTATTTCTCCCAAGTGAAGACTCTCAGGAGTGGAAGGGGCAAGCCACGTGACTCATTCTAGACCCAACGTCACCCAAAGATGTGAACGCGACTCACCAGATCCAAGCTCATTAGTATCTATTTATCTTTGAGCTGTGTATAAAGTATAGACAACAGCCACAGTTTGGTGCTCAAAAATGTTTGCAGAAACTAATCTAAAATTAGTTTAGTTTTATTGGTAACAAAAGAATTCCTGGGGAAATTGGACCAGGGAAATCACATGACACAGTGACAGGATGTACCTAAGAAATACTATACTGAAATTCCTCTGTTATCTGTTAATATCAATTGCCAGGCACTCTATCTGATGAGGATAAACAAGTGACCCTGATCTTTCAATTGTTCCATTCTAGAAGAGATAAGATCAAATAAGAGATTCCTCTTTATGGAACAGCAGACTCTCATTTTTGCAGTAAACAAAACAGTACATCAGGTAAACCCTGTTATCAGTCGATAAGGATCCAGGAGAGATTGATGGTTGAGGTTAGATTTCCAAGAGATGTACTCCAAAAAGAACTTGTAGGAGAAAAAATAACAGATGTAGAGAGAAAGATTGCTCCAAACGTGAGGAATGAGACCCACAAGGAAGCAGGGTTAGGTCAGGAGTAAATGAAGAGGATTATGGCAACAAAGCTAAGAAGCAAGTCGTCCAAACTGGCTGTCTTCAGGTCAAGATTATAGGAGCTAAGACACAACACTGTAAATCATTTAAACAGTAGCATAAAAAGTTGCTTATTTAATGCATTTATTTATCTAATTAATATGTAAAGATATATCAAAATTGGTACAGACTTCATTCTTTAAACCAACCTTTCAGACTTTGTATTTGTGGAAGACTCTAGGAGCTCTCTAAAAATAAGGCCAGTAGAACCCTTGGTGGTAGTCTTGTCTGGTGTCCCAAAAGCTGGGTAACCCCACTGCCATGGACAAAACAGTCGGGGCAGAAGTAGACGGTCACCAGTTACTCTGATATTTTGCATTTTATATTTTTAATAAAAACTTCACTTATGACTCTTGGAAAATATATTCACATACTACATGTGACTATGTAAGGGACAAATCAAAATCTTATTTAAAATAAGGCCATGGAAACCGACCAAGGCTAAGTCTTCGTCTTTCTTCGTGCACATGCAGACCTATTTCAGACAATGTGGATCTGTTCAGATTTCACAATTGTTGATTTTGCAGGTGGAGGTGACCTGGAAGACCCTGTTGCCTAAAAAAGCCGAGACCCCTTCCAGTTTCCGAGTCAGCCGGGGCTCAGCCATCCGGGCGAGGGCGCTCCAGATCAGCCACATGACCTTGAGCCAAGTTCTTAGCCTTTCTGAGCTTCCCTGGGAAATAACACAGCTGACTGCACCCACCTTCTGGGGCTCTTTGGAGGACAGGATGACACACCGCGAGTGAAGCCTGCGGCAGTGCCTGGCACAGAGGATGGGCTCAAAGCCCGCGAGCTGCCGTGACCAGTGTCACCTACACCAGCCGGGCCGCCTTGGCAGAGTTCAATGAACCAAGCTCCGACCGCTAGCAAGGGGCAGAGGTGGGGTTCGCAGGCGTGCCCCTGAATTCTCACCCCGAGCTCCTTCCACTTAACCACAGCTGGCCCTGATGTTTCATCCGGGGTTGCGGACCACATTTGCAAGAGATTGATTAACGTGCTAATCCCCGCAGCTTCTGCTCAGCCTCACGTCGACTGCGCAGGGAAGCCGCAGGAACTGTGGGACGTCAGATGAAATCGCATTTGAACGGGGTCTTTAAGCCAGTTAGAGAAATTCCTCTTGTGTTCCATTAGTTTAATTATGACACAGTGAAACAGACTCTGAGCAATTTCAGACCCGGGAACACTGGCCCGCAGAGACGCGGGCCTGGCGGCGCGCCCCACCCCGTCCCTCAGCCAGGTGTCAAGCGGCGCACCGGCTCGGCACACAGGCCGCTTTGTTAGGATACCTCCGAAAGCCAGCCAAGTGGCAAATGTGGACATCTGTGCTAGACTGTGGCTGTCCTGTTTTCTCAGTCTAATCTGTCAAGATAACCATTTCCCCATTCTCTTAAACAAACACAGACTTCCTTGTTTAAACACTATAACAGTTCTAACAGAACACACAGCTTTTAATCATTCTGTGTTAAGTACACTGGCAAGAGTCTGAGAAAAGAATCAAAACATCTTAAATGTAAACTGGCTGATTGCGCTGCTGCTTTGCAAATCCCGGGAAACAGTGAGAAACCTGAAATTCCAGTTCAGAGGGCTATAGCATTGTAGGAGAAACTAGAGTGAGTTTTTACATTATCATTGAATCAGAAGTGCAATTGTGAAAACAGTTCAGCTTCTAAAGCAAAAAAATATATATATATAATTTAAAATTTTGGATCATGTTTTCTATTTTTCTTCTGCAAAAAGCTGCAAGTTTGGCGAATGTAAGTTCATTGCTGCAATCGTTCTGTGTTTGTTTATAAAGGCGACAGCGACGCTTGAGCAGCATGTGTCCCCAGGGAAGCTGGTGCTGAGGCAGCTAGGGGGCGGAGCCACTGCGCGAACTCCCTCTGGGAAGCCCTTCCGTCTGGGCCCCAGCACAGTACCGCGCTGCTCTCCACCAATGAGGCGTTCTGGGTCATTTCCTAATATTTGAGAATTGACACGTGAAGGGGGGCGGGGGGGGGGGGTCGTTCACGGTGGAACGAGCAGGAATGTTGGCAATGCCGAAGTTTGGGATGTGCTCCTTCAGCCTTGATTTCACTTGCAAACTATCCAAACGCACCTTGAAATGCAAGGAAAGGAAAACTTCCCTAAAGCCCTGACATGTTTCCCACTTAGAGGAAAATGGTGGTTAAATAATCCAAACTCTACATAGTCCCTGCCTAGAGCAGTTCAAGTACAGACTGCGAGATCAGACCAATTTAAGGTTACATTGTGGGTCAGTGACTGAGTCAGGTGACTTCAGACAAGTTAATGAGCCTCTTGGAGCCTTAGTTTCTTTATCTGTGAAATAGAGATAAGAGTATCTTAGAGTACTTAAGAAGATTAAAGAGATATGTTTGCAATGGCAAGTGTTTAATAAAGTTAGTAGTTATTAAGCAAAGTATCCACTAACACCTATCATAATTGAATAATACTCTGACTGCCAGGGGAGGGGCGACCGGATGAAAGAAGTTGAAGGGATTAGCCAAAGAACAAATATACATAACCCGCAGATACAGACGAGGAGTGGTGATGGCCAGAGGGAAGGGAAGGTGTGTGTGTGGGGGGGGGGGGGGGGCGGGCGGCAAGGACATCTCTGATAGTGTAAACAATAAAAATAAAGTTGAGAAATACTCTACCATAAAATTCAAGTTAATAGAGTTTATAGAGCCCTGGCCGGTTTGGCTCAGCGGTTGGAGCGTTGGCCTGCGGTACAGAGAGACCCGGGTTCGGTTCCCGCTAAGGGCACGTACCTCGGTTGCAGTTTGTCCCCGGCCCTGGTTGGTGGTGAGGGTGGCAGCCACTCGATGTGTCCCTTCACATCGATGTTTCTCTCTCTCTCTCTTCCTCTCTCTCCCTCCTGCTCTATCTGAACAAAAAATGGAAAAATGTCCTCGGGTGAGGATTTAAAAAAAAAAAAAAAATAGAGTTTATAGAGAACATACGGATTAACAACTTTACAAAATTAGAAAATAATTTAACATCAAAATACTAAACCTGTTTAAGAGAGATAATGCTCTGAGTGTCAATCACCTATACAATTCCTTGTAAAAATGGCCAGAATTTACAAAGTTGTCACAATCACTCCAACACAGCTGTTGGGCCCCATTCCCCGGACACAAGTGAGACCCCAGTGTGTAAGCTCTGACATGCAGTAGTGTACAGACCCAGGGCCAACCCACAGATGGCTGGAGGACCAGTCAAATCTTCCAGCTGAATGACAAGTCAGTCTGGATGAGAACAGTGGCAGCAGAGACGAGCAGAAGCTGAAGGACCATTATTTGGCCACAGTGGAGAAGTTCTGGAGTTAGAAGCAACAGATAGATGCCTGTGCTGAGGTGACAGGAAACCGGGCCAATAGCGCTGAGGACGCTGGTTCTCCAGGAGCCCAGGCTGTGTGGCAACTGGAGTTACTTTTCAACTTGAAAGAACCTAACAGCAACATTTCATCTTTTTTTTTTTTTAAATCCTCACCCGAGGATATTTTTCCAATTATCTTCAGATAGAGTGGGAGGGAGGGAGGGAGAGAGGGAGGGAGGTAGAGAGTGCAAGAGAGACATCAATGTGAGAGAGACACATCGATTGGTTGCCTCCCACATGACCCCAACCAAGGCTGGTGACCAAACCGCAACCAAGGTACGTGTCCTTGACCGGAATCAACCCCCAAACTCTTTGGTCTGTGGGCCGATGCTCTAACTGCTGCGCCAAACCAGCCAGGGCACATCATTTTATCTCTGACGATTCAGGAGGCACCTAAAGATCTCAAGACACATGATGGTCAGAATTACTCACTTCGGTTACCATGAGCACAGATTCATAGTTACTTCCTTAGGAGATTTTATGTCTGTACATTGATAGCTGCTACTAATGGTTGATGAGAGTAATTAGGCTCTCTTATGCTTAACTTATATACTTTAATTCAATAAATATTTATTAATACTCTATGTAATACCATATGTAAGACACATTGGTAAATATTCTGGACAATTAGCAAAATAATAAGTTTTCCCGTCCTCAAAAACATGACAACATAATGGGATTTGACAAGTTCACAGTACTAACTATGAGATAGAATATAATAAATGCTTCAAGAGAAAAGCAAGACACTTACCATGGTCTAGGTAACACTGCAAGGTGACGGATGTGTTAATTAGCTTGATTGTGGTAAACATTTCATCGTGTATTTGAATATCAAATCATCATCACACTGGACACCTTAAATGTATGCAATTTTTATTTGTCAAGTATACTCACTAAAGCTGGTTGAAAAAATGCAAGAAAATTGACCCAAGACATTATGCTCAATTAATATTTGACAAAGGGGGCAGGAACATACAGTGGAGTAAAGACAGCCTCTTTAATAAATGATGTTGGGAAAATTGGGCAGCTACATGCAAAAAAAAATGAAACTAGACCACCAACTTACACCATATACAAGAATAAACTCAAAATGGATAAAACACTTAAATGTGACTCGTGAAACTATAAAAATCTTAGAAGAAAATGCAGGCAACAAAATTTTAGACATCACACACAGCAGAATTTTCACTGATACAACACCTAAGGCAAGAGAAACAAAGGAAAAAAATGAACACATGGGACTACATCAAACTAAAAAGCTTCTGCACAGCAAAAGAAACAACCTTCATCATGGTTGGGAACCCACTCTATGGGAGAGCATAATTGCCAATGATACATCAGATAAGGGGTTAATTTCCAAAATATATAGAGAACTCATACAACTCAACAAAAGGAGGACAGAGAACCCAATTTAAAAATGGGCAGAGGAGCTAAAGAGACACCTCTCCAAAAAGGACCTACAAATGGCAAACAGACATATGAAAAAATGCTCAATGTCACTAATCATCAGAGAGATGCAAATTAAAACAGCAATGAGGTATCACCTCATACCTGTCAGAATGGCTGCCATCAACAAATCATCAAACAACAAGTGCTGGTGAGGGTGTGGAGAAAAGGGGACTCTAGTACATTGCTGGTGGGAGTGCAGACTAGTACAGCCATTATGGAAAACAGTAGGGTGTTTTTTCAAACAACTAAAAATTGAACTTCCATTTGACCCAGTGATCCCGCTTCTAGGAATATACACTAAGCCTGAAACACCAATCAGAAGAATATATGTACCCCCATGTTCATAGCAGCACTATTTACAATAGCTAAGATCTGGAAACAGCCCAAGTGTCCATCAGTAGACGAATGGATAAAAAAGCAGTGGTACATATACACAATGGAGTACTATGCAGCTGTAAGAGAGAAAGATCTCTTATCCTTTGAGACGACATGGAGGGACCTGGAGAGTATTATGCTAAGCAAAATAAGCCTGTCACAGAAAGACAAATATCACATGATCCCACTTATTTGTAGAATATGATGAACAAAATAAGTTGATGAACAAAATAGACCAGAGACATAGAAGTAGGATTCAGACTGACAAACCTCAGAGAAGGGGGTCTGGGGGAGGGAAGAGATAAACCAAAGAACTTAAATATATGTATGCATAATCAGTGGACATAGACAACAATGCTGGGGATGGGGGGAGACTGGGAGGAGGGTGTTGATGGGGGAAAAAGGAAAAACATATGTAGCAAAAATAAATTAATTAAAAATAAAAATAATAACAAAAGCAAAGAGCCTAGCTAAATAGGTAAAGTAAATAAAATTTATAAAATAACAACAACAGAAACAAAAGTTTGAATATGATCCAGAGTTGGACGAGATCGCAGGCTTTGGGGAGAGGCATGGCTGAAGGTTGGAAGGACATGACCTTGAACACCTGGAAACCTGGATGTGACTTGGACAGCGAGATGAAGTCTTGGTGGGAGCCGGACAGAGCGTGAGCTAGGACAGCGGAGACCACCGGGGGAGCAGCAAGTATCACGGACCGACTGGCGTGTGGGGAACTCGTAACACGAGGTAAGGACGGAAGGAAGCTTGGGGCCAGGGAGTGAAGGCCTGGAAATGTCAGGATAAAGAATTTCGAGTTTCTTTTGTAAGTGAAGGAGTCGAGAGAGGTGTTTGAGCAGGAATGATAGAGTCAGCCGAGTCAATCTGACACAGGCTCCCATCCCTGAATAACGTTCCTGTGAGAATATGACTTTATCAAAACACCTTTATGAATAAAATAGCGTAGACCCATAAACTATGAATAAGCAATAAAAATACAATAAAGACCAAGAATTGAAATAGTATAACATCTAGACTTAATGCGGTCTCCAATTTACCTTGTCAGAGAGAGATGTCAGTTTTCTCTCCTAATAATCACCTGAAGCTGATGTCTGAAACCAATATGGTTTTCTTCACAGAGCACGGAACAGACTGGCTTTGTCGCCTGGTTCTTTCCTGAGGCTGTAGACAGAGCAGACACAAAGTGTGAGCTAACCCTCCGCGAAATGGAAATTTCCCTTCATAACTGCTGCCGCCTAAGTGGGCACAGCCCTTCGCACAGCCACTTGGGTGTGTACTGAGGGCCCTGGGATGCCCACGCCCATTGACCCACCTCCAGCTCCCTAGGCTGACATTTTAAAAATTAAGAGAAAGCAGTGTGAATGAATATGCTTATGCTGGTGTTACTTACACGTGTGAAAGAAAATAAACAGAAACTTAAATTAGTAAAAACCTGAGAGGAATTCTTAAGTAAAAGATGGACCATCGACTCGTTGAACTATTATTGTACAGCTATTTTAAATCAAAATCATGAAGACAGGCCAGTAACATGCAATAATGTTTCTAGGTTAATTATAAAAAAAAAAAAAATGACCCTAAACATAACACCATGATTACAAACTATGAAAAAAAAAATTCATCTAAAATACACTGCTGGTGGGAATGCAGACTGGTGCAGCCGCTATGGAAAACAATATGGTGCTACCTCAAAAAATTAAAAATTGAACTTCCATTTGACTCAGTGATCCCACTGCTGGGAATATACCCTAAGAAGCCTGAAACACCAATCAGGAAGAATATATGTACCCCCATGTTCATAGCAGCACTATTTACAATAGCTAAGATCTGGAAACAGCCCAAGTGTCCACCAGTAGACGAATGGATAAAAAAGCTGCGGTACATATACACAATGGAGTACTATGCAGCGGTAAGAAAGAAAGATCTCTTATCCTTTGAGACGACATGGAGGGACCTGGAAAGTATTATCCTAAGTGAAAGAAGCCAAGCAGAAAAAGACAAATACCACATGATCTCACTTATATACGGAATATAATGAACATAACAGTCTGAGGAATACAGTAGACCCAGACACATGGAAGTAGGGCACAGACTGACATCCCTCAGAAGAGGGGATGGGGGGTGAGGGGGTGGGAAGAGATAAACCACAGAACTTATATGCATGTATGCATGACCAATGGACATGGACAACTAAGCCGGGGACGGGGCGGAGGTGGGGTGGGGTGGGGGGTGCCAATGGGGTAAAAAGTTAAAATATCTGTAACAAAAAAATAAATAAAAACTCATATTAAATAAATAAATAAATAAATAAATAAAAGAGACTGGACGACAATAGATAAAAAAACAATAGCACCACTTGTGTTGTGATCATTTTATTGAAGGAGATGGGTTCTTTTTTTATTTTGTCTTCCAAAGTGCTCATATGTTGTTATAATTATTTTATTTATTTTTTATTTTTATTATTATTATTTTTTTAGAGAGAGTAGGAGGGAGGGAGGGAGGGGGCAGAGAGAAACATGAATGGGAGACACATTGATTGGTTGCCTCCCAAATGTGCCCTGACCAGGGCCAGGGATTGAACTTGCAACCCAGGTGTGCCCTTGACTGGGAATTGAACCTGAGACCCTTTGGTCTGAAGGCCAATATCTAACCACTGAGCACACTGGCCAGGGCAGGTGTTATCATTATGAAATAGTAAAGGAAAAAAGGATTAAAACCAGATCTCTACTAGGAAGCTGGCATTCCCTCTACAGACAGCATGTGAAGAAATCAGCAAGTGGCCCGGGGTGTTTCTTTCCTGACCGATCCGGTGGGGGCTCAGAATGCCGTGGAGGTTGCGAGAAGACCTTACGCTGCCAAAACCACAGCGCAGTGATGTTGTCCTTTTTGGCTCCCGTATGATGGTACAATAAAGAGAGAACAGAGAAATGGAAGAAGGATGTATGTATGACATTTCTTTGGGTTGTAGTTCTAATGTACAGATTATCAAATCACACCCTCCCTGTTCTATTCTCAAATGCTTATAGAGTGTGGTTTCCTCCTTCTTTCTCCTCCCTTGGGAATGAGGAAAAGAAAGTTCAGGAAGAGAACACTACTTAGAAAAACCACTGCTCACCAGCTGACATTGACACGATACATTTAGAAACAGAGTCATTTCATTCTCTTTTTGAGTAAACCAGTAAAAATGTTTCCTGATCACAACTGAGAGCATGATAAAGACTTTCTTAAATGTCTCACGAGTCGCATAATAGAAGGTGTATTTGATTGGTGGCTACAAACAGGCAAAGTACTAGCTCTACATTTCTCAGAAGAGTCTCATCAATAGAATTCTTCATAATTCTACAATATGGACAGCAATAAAAAGAACAGGAAAATAAAGCATCACCGAATAAAATGTAGCAAACTAAATTATCACTTCACACGGATTTAAATTTTATTCAATAATTAATGTGCTGCTTGGATTACAACAGTTTTAAAGGGAGGGCTGATTCAAAGGCAATTAGTCCTATTAAATGAAAGTTTTGCTTTGGGGACTTTTATTATTTAAAAGATATTTCTAGCCCTAGCCGGTTTGGCTCAGCGGTTAGAGCGTCGGCCTGCGGTACAGAGAGACCCGGGTTCGGTTCCCGCTAAGGGCACGTACTTCGGTTGCAGTTTGTCCCCGGCCCTGGTTGGTCGTGCGGGTGGCAGCCACTCGATGTGTCCCTTCACGTCGATGTTTCTCTCTCTCTCTCTCCCTTCCTCTCTCTCCCTCCCACTCTATCTGTACAAAAAATGGAAAAATATCCTCGGGTGAGGATAAAAAAAAAAAAAAAAAAAAAAAAAAAAAAAAAAAAAGATATTTCTACCATTAATTTAAATTAGACAAGTTGCTACCATGTAGGTTGTAGAAGACAGAACCCAATGTGTTTTGTTGTTTTTTTTCCTTCTGAGCTCCATTTTTGTTTAACTTTTTCCCATTGCAGGTGGCTGGCTCTTCAGGTCCCGTGTGCTGGAGTTACTTTCCCTGTGCACAAACATCTTTTAACCCTGCTCTTCCTGACTATTGTGAAGAAGATATACAGAAAGAATGCAGAGCCTGGGCAGCATTTCACACTTCATTCCAAGGAGGGAGCAAAGGTTAAGAATGAGGAAAATGAAGCAGACAGCCATGTGTGGCTGAGAAAAAGTCTTGCTATTCTGCAGAGGCGGCCCCTCCCCCGCCACCAACAAACAGAAGAAAGGCCCGTGAATGAGATCATGTCAACTTCCTCCGCTTACATAGCAATGCCGGCCTTCTGTCCTTTCGGAAAAACAAGTCATCCATGCACCCGAGTTCAGGGCTGCATTGTGAAGTGTTTCCGAAGTCCCGGTGACAGCACACTGACACAGGTCCACGGGACGGGCCCAAGCTGGCTTTTCCAGCCCTGGTCTAAGGGCCCTACAAGAAGTCCACTTTCTGCATGTCAATGAAATCTGAACCTCTCTTTATCCGCCAGTCAATAAACCTCTGGAAACATGTGCCAAGTGAGTGGGCTTGGCTTTGGAGGAGGGCGCTGTTTCCAGGATCTCAAGATGGTGCTGGGCTGGTGCTGGGCTGGCGTTGGGCTCAGTGGTGCATTTTGATATGTGAACGGGAGGCGATTCTGGTTTTCGACAGTGCCAGTCGTCATCAAGGACGGGAGCCAGTAGTCATTTCACAGATGAACTCTAAGTCAGGTTTTCCAAATTTTATTTTAATCCATGGATTAGTCCACTTGATTTCTTCTAGGATTTTCTCTTTCCTCACTGAATTATTTTTTGCTCTCCAGGAGGGATTCCAGTTAGGAAATACAACATCAGTTCTTAGACGAGGCGTTCATTCAGGGTAGATTAAAAGGCTCAAGATCATAATATTTTATATACGAACAAGGTTCCTATAATCTAAATCTGAACATTACCCAATTGTTTTATGGGCAAGTCAGCTTCGAAGTTTCTGAACATTAAGCAGTGAGCAATATGTTGCCATGGAAATTCTATATTAAAATCAGATGTGTATAAATGTCTTCATTTTGATTTTTTTTTATTTGGTTGTGTTGCATATGTGTTTTTAAAAGTTTTTATGAAAAAAAAACTTTAAAAAGACCCTATAGTTGAACATGAGACTAGCAGCCATCTCTGCCAAGGAGTAAGGTACTGGTGTGGTGACAGGGGATGACTCCAACGATGCTCCCCCCACCTCAAAGCAAGGTTCCCATGAGGTCAGGTATCGCTACAGACTGTTAGTGTATTCTTTAGAATTTCCGAAACAAAGCTATCTCACACCAGGTAATTTGACAATACAGTAGATGCTCTGTTAACTGACCCCCAAATAGGAGAATTCCCAGGCTGGCTGGTCTTTCCCAGCCTCGACTCTCCGCTGCACACAGGTGGCTCATCTCGCCAGAACCGGCCTCTCTCTAGCAGAAGAGTGAGCCCCTGGCTCCCATCACTTGAGTAACTGTTTGCTCCTACACCAGTTCATACACATTGTCTTTGTTATCATGAGGATATGATTTCTTTACTATTTAAAATAAACTGATAAAAGTGGCAGAAGAAAAACATTTGTACTATATTCTCTGAGAGGTTTTTTTTGTTTTGTTTTTTTAATGCCAGCAAATTAGAGGTGGGTGAGAAAATTGTAAATGATTGGTGGGCATAACATACAAATTTAGGAGGATTTTCTTCTTAGATTGCTCCAAAACTTTCTTTGGGTTCCCTTTTTTTAAATTTATTTATTTATCCTCACCCGAGGACATTTTTTAATATTTTGTTCAGATAGAGTGGGAGGGAGGGAGAGAGAGAGAAAAAAATCAATGTGAAAGGGACATATCAAGTGGTTGCCACCCGCACGACCAATCAGGGCCGGGGACAAACTGCAACCGAGATATGTGCCCTTAGCGGGAACCGAACCCGGGTCTCTCTGGACCGCAGGCCAACGCTCTAACCGCTGAGCCAAACCGACCATGGCTGGGTTCCCTGTTTTAAGAAAACACAAAGACAGCATGCAGTTGCGGTGCTCGTGCAAAAAAGATTCAAAACATAAATCAATGGCCCAAAAGGTGCTAAAATTAATGTATATTTACATGCTTTAAGATAAAAAAATATGTTTATGGTATATGTGTGTCATCACTTATGATTCCCTGTTTTAACTGATGTTCTTTTTA